CCCCAGAACCCCAAGCCCGCCCCGGACCCACCCAGGAGCAGCACGGCTGCCAGGCCGGCAACCTACGTCCGCCGGCACAGGCTACCCCAGCAGAAGTACTTAACGTAGTTCTTCATGTCATGACCTGCTCATACGATACTTCTGTGTGCCATGCCCCCTCATTACCTTGTGTCTATTCCTAATTGTATTCAGCTGTGTCTCCATCCAATTCCAAGATCTGTCATTAATGTAACGTCTCATATTGTTGCCTGTCTACCACGAATAAACCCCGTCCTTTAGATCTTCGTTCACCTGATTCCTTATTTGCCCTGTCCTACCTGCTCGCTGAACACTGAACATGACAGAATGACAGATCTCCAAGAAAAGTACCCCCCCTGACCAAAGGTTTCTACGTCGGTCTGGTTGATGAGGTAAACTACTGGCTCAATTAGCCTGAGGTAAATGACGACCCCATGCTGCGAGCCCTCGCTTACCAGACGTGGGATCTCCTCAAAGAGGGATCCTCATCTGAAGATGCTTATCTCGCGGAAGAGGTAAGCGAGAACATCCTGTGGCTGAGAAGTGGGGTGGCAGAGGTTAACCTGAGGCAAGTTGCCTTGGACAGTGGATTGCCCAGCGGCCCGCCATCTGAGTTGCCTGAGGTGCCTTCAACTCCATTGAAAGTAGCAAGGAAGAGGAGGCAAAAAAGCTGAAGATGGGAAGATGATCTGGAGATCTTCTTAGGGGCTGTGTCAGTTTCCGCTGCCTGCCCTGCTGCGCGTTTCGCTGTTTTCGCTGCGCCATTTCCCGAGGCACACCGCTCAGCCACGCCCACACCCACGTGTAACCCCGAAGTCCGCATTGCTACCGCTTCCGCTGAGAGGAAGCCAGAGGTTTGTTCACTAGCCGTTTCATCCCTGGCTGTGACGTTCTTTACCCTCCAGGGTCTGTTTTGGAGGGTGATAGAGGATCCAACAGTGCCAGACTCCCCTGAGGTGACCCAGCTGTGTATGGGAGTTTGCGGCATTCACCCCGACCTCATCACCCTGTGAGCTGGACCGAATAGCGGAGAACCTGCGGAGGCTGCTCCAGTTGAGGACAGCGCAAGCTCCCTCAACAGTCCCGGTGGAGGACACCCTGGCCCCAGCGGTTCCAGTCCTAGTGGTGGAGACCTTGGTTCTTGATGCTCCTGACCAGCCTCTTCCTGTGCTGCCTGACCGCCCGCTGCTCCACCCGAGGTCCCGGCGCCTCCCGCGCCCGAGGTCCCGCCTGCGCCTCTTGCTACGCCCAAGATCCCGCCCACACCTCCTGCTCCACCCGCGCCTAATGTGCCGGCTCCACCCATAGAAGCTCCGGCTCCAGCTCCAGTCCCCCTGGCTCCAGATCCAGTCCCCGAGGAGGTCCTGGACTATCAGATCACCGCTCCTCCTCCCTTGATGGAGGGAGAGGAGGATCTTGAGTGGGACCCCTCGGGGACCTCCCTAATGGCCCCAATGGTCTCCTTCAGGAGGACTCCTCCGCCATCGCCTCAGCAGGGTTGATCCCGGCCAGGTCCCCACCTGCCGGTGTCCCGGAAGGGGAGAGAACACCTGCGTAGGGGTTGGGTCCCGCCCGCCCTGCCCTCGGTCGCCTTGGCTGTGGCTGCAGGGGCACCAGTGAGTCCTCCAGCTCCTGCTCGGTGGTCGCCTGCGGGTCCCTCTTCATGGACTCGTCAGCCACCTTCGGCCCTGCTTCTGATGCCTAATCAGTCGCCTGTGGGTTCCCCCACTTTGACTCGTCAGTCGCCTGCAGGTCCCCCAACTTCAACTCGGCGATGGATGGCGCCTTCGCCTGCTGCTTCCCCTCCCTTCTTGCCTTCGCCCGGGTCCCCTCCAACTTCCTCCTGGCCTCCCGTGGTGCCCTCTCTAACTTCCTCTTCGCCTCCTCCCGCCTCACGGTTGCCTGCTGACCCTGCGGCTGCCGATTTACACCTGCTGTGGTTCCCTCGGGCTCCCCGTTGTCCGCCGTTCTCTATCTTTCTGCCTCCTTCCTTTGTCCCTCCAATGTTCACTCCTGGCCCTTTCGTTCCTCCCATTGCTGTTCCCCCGATGTCTCCCTCTCTGATTTGTCTGTCTGCATTCCCTGTGCTCTGTCAGGTTTTGTCATGGTTTCTGCCCTTGTGCTTGTTTTGTGTTTCTGTCCTGTTCCTGGTCTCCCGTTAATGGTTTTCACTTTTGTCTTCCAGGTCCCGTGTCGTCCATCACCTCCCCTCCCTGGTGTGCGCACTTTTGGGGGATGGTTCTGTCATGACCTGCTCGTACGATCCTTCCATGTGCCATGCCCCCTCATTACCTCATGTCTATTTCTGATTTTATTCAGCTGTTTGACGTTATTTCTGGCTTGTCCTGTGTATATCAGTCGGCGTCTCCATCCAATTCCCAGATCTGTCATTATTGTAAAGTCTCATGTTGTTGCCTGTCTGCCCCGAATAAACCCCGTCCACTGGATCTTCATTCACCTGATTCCTTATTTGCCCTGTACTACCTACTCGCTGAACACCGAACGTGACACTTCATTCATTCATTTCTCAACATTTATTTGGGGCCGGGTGACAGGGGCTGCAATACAGAAAGCTGATGCCCTGTAAACACAGGCTCTGTACCCCATTCTTCTGAAGCACTCCCCACAGGACCCCCCAAAAGACACAGTTGTATGCCTTTTCTAAGTTCACAAAACACATGTAGACTGATTTCGCCCATGACTCCCATGAATCCTCCAGTATCTTTGTGAGGGTGAACAGCTGGTCTAGCGTTCTACAACCAGGATGGAATGCACATTGTTCCTCCAAGGTTTTACCAACAGACGGACTCTTCTCTGGGACCCTGGCATAGACCTTCCCAGGGAGGCTGAGGAGTGTGATCCCCTGAAGCTGGAAAACATCCTCCAGTCTTTTTTAAAAGACCACCCCAGTCTGCCAATCCAAGGGCACTGTCCCCAGCCTCCACGCAATGTTGAAGAGGCATGTCAACCAAGACAGCCCAACAAGGTCAAGAGCTTTCAGAAACTCAGGGGGAATCTTACCCATCCCTGGAGCCTTATCACTGAAGAGTTTTTCGACTACTTCAGTGACCTCAGCCATAGTGATGGACTGAGTCTTCCTCCAAGGATTCAGGTGGTCCTTGTAATATTCCTTCCACCACCTGACTGATCTCCATTTGAGTTCAGCAGTGTTCTATCCCAGCTGTACGCAGCATGAGTAAGACACTGCGTCCCCCTCCTGAGTCTCATGTTGTTTTGCCCGGAATCTTTTCAAAGCCAACCTAAAATAATTTTCCATGTCATACCAAACTCCTACCACACCTGAGTATGTGCTTCCACAACCACTAAAGCCACATTCCACCTGGCATGCAGGTACCTGTCAGCTGTTTCAGGAGTCCCACAAGCTAACCAAATTCAGAAAGCCGCCTCCTTCATCCTGACAGCTCCCTTTACCACTGGTGTCCATCACTGGCCACAGCTCCACCTATCCACCTCAGCAATGGAAGCCCGGCCCATTGCCCATTCAGACTCAGACATTCTTCAACCTCCAGTTGAAGGTTTATTAGACAGAGACCTCTGCCAGATGCTCCCAGCAACCCTCACAATGCATTTGATGTCTACCAGGTATATCCGGCATTTTCCCCAACCAACTGATTCAACTCAAAACTCGGTTGTAATCAGTTGACAGCTCAGCTCCTCTCTTCTCCTGAGTGTCCAACACATGTGGATGCAGATCCAACATAACAATAACAAAATTAATCTTTGAACTGCGGCCTAGGGTGCTCTGACGTCAGGTGCATTCTTATGTTCGAACATGGTGTTTTTTATGGACAAATTGTAATTAGCACGTAAGCCCAATAACAAAGCACCACTTGGGTTAAGATCGGGCAGGCTGTTCCTCCCCGACATACCCTTCCAGATTTTACTGTTGTTACCCTTGTGAGTGTTAAAGTCCCTCAGTAGAACAATGGAGTCCCCAGAGGGGGCACCTTCTAACACCCCAACTAAGGTCTCCTAGAAGGCCAGATACTCTGAACTGATGTTTGGTGCATAAGCACAGACAAGAGTCAGAGCCTGTTCCCAAAGTGAAAGAGAGGCGGCCTTCTCATTGACTGGGGTAAACTCCAACATACTGACACCAAACCAGGGGACTTTGAACAGACCCCCACCTGCCCAGCACCTCTCACCATGGGCAACTCCAACTCCAGGAGGTAGGTTCCAGAGTCCAGGTCGCGTGTTGAGGTGAGCCCATCCTATATCTAGTTGGTATCGCTCTACCTCTCACACCAGCTCAGGCTCCTTTCCGACCAGAGAGATTATGTTCCATGTTCCAAAAGCCAGATTTGGTAGCCAATGATTCCACTGAGCCCCTGCCTTTGACTGCCACCCGATTTACCTTGTACCTGACCTCCACGGTCTCCCCTGTAGGTAGTGGGCCCACAGAAGGGCGAACCCATGTTCTTGCTTCAGGCTATGCCCAACTGGGCCCCATTAATAGAGACCCAGCCAGTAGGCACTCGCCAGCAAGCTCTCCCCCAGGCCTGGCTCCAATACTTATTATAGTTGTCCATCATATTATATGACTTGCAGCGCTGCCCATTCTCCTGCAACTGTTACCCTAAGTGACATACCCAATAACATCCTACTATGTCCACTTTCAGGCATCCCTTGATAACTGTATTATTTATTATGGTTCTTGGATGTAAATACAATCAGATGTGACTCAATTAGGCGTATCTTGATGTAAGACTGTATTAAGCAACAGTGATATTATTTGGTCATGGACCCTGTATGATTTTGGAAAAATTCCATGTTATGAACATGAATTGCCTGCACAAACTTAATAATAATTAGATTATTCTATTTGTCAATCCATCAAGGTAGATAATTAAGCAGGAGTCTGTGCATATGCTATGTACTGATCAGTTAACTTCAGTTATGCTCCTCTGCTGCTAGGGATTTGTGCATACACATAGTTGTGCAGCTTCTGCATACACATAGTCGGGAGTATTAGTAAACATACACACATTTCTATGCAGAGGAAGAAATTGATAAATACCATTCTGTGCATAAAAGTGAGCAAATGCACAGATTATACATAAAACTGTTAATATACAGGGTTGATAAATGAGACCCCTGGATCTCTTAAAATTTTTAAACAAATTGTTCCAGTATTGAGGCAGCACTGCATAGTTCTGGCAAAGGGAAAGGCAGCCTCAGACACTTGATCTTGTCAGCATGATAATCCAGAAATATTTGTCTAAATCTACAGGCTGAATTAAAAAATGACATTAGACGAGCTAAAAG